TTACAGATGAGTGAGGGCTTTTAACTGCCGGGAGCATGATAAAACTTGCTCTTGTGTAAGACCTAAAAGTACGCTGTGTATAAAGTTCGATACTCAATTGTTGACGAAACAGAGATGTACTATGTCCAAGAAGACATATTCTACTGATTGCTCATTAGAGCTTCTGTTAGGACGGCGCAGATCACGACTTACCACTCTTGCCGTCGTGGGATCAGGACTGACAAAGAAAAAAGCACGCAGCCAGATTATGCGCGACCTTTAGGGACCTAACATCACGCGATGGCTGCTCAGATAGGGTGTTTACAGGATGGACCAATAAGAACGGGCAAAGCAGTAAAGACTGGTCGTCCTTGAATACGATGGCCGCAAACAGAAGGACTGAAAAGTTGAGGTACACGCAGAAACTGTCGCAGAAAATGGTAAAATCCTAGTTTAGATCCCAGAAATTGTTTAAGTACTGTAATGTTCTCCCAACAAAATTTATTTAACTTATTTATATTTAAGTTCAGTTTTCAATTCATTATTAGTTTTACTATTTTATTTTAGTTTCGGGTTATTTTTAACTAAAGTCCGTTTAGGTTACTTAAGTTTAAGATTTTAGTTAGTTGATTTTAGTTTTACTTAGTTATTTTTTAATTTTGTTATTTTCCAATATTCGCATAGCTGAACACTTTAATTATCGCGCGCTTTTTTGTTGACAAACCTTAGGGCATTTAAATAATTATTCCTGCTTTTTCTACTTTTACAAACTTTAATTTTATTTTTATTTCCTTTCCTTTTTATTGCATAGACTGTATACTCTTTATTTCACCCGGTTCTGTATTACAGGATGATTGGGCTTTTGCGTGCTGATCTAAGACCCAAACTAGGATTCTACAAAGTTAACTCGTTCTTTGCTATCCTCTCTATCTTCTATTCCACACATGCGACTAGGGGGCATAACGATTTCAAGTCGGAAAATATTTATAGTACTTGCACACTAGCCGCCTTCATCTAGGATTAAAAGACGAATTGGCAAATCTGAATCTTGTTCTTGCCCATTTCTGCAAGCAGATATGTTACTAGGCACCTGAAATTTTTATTTCACTTCCCACTTTCTGAAATCATTGTGTTTTGCTGCTTCGGCTCTAGATCCAAACTTTTGCTATGCCTACCTTGTTTGATTTCTGATGCAGAGTCTTCAATTGCCTCGCTCAACGTGATCTCGGTGGATTTCTTCCGCACAACTCCATTACTCTGTCCACTGTAGTTCATGTTGTTCATGTGATAGGCACACTTTTCTGACCTAGTGTCATCCCGATGTCGCAATTATTGTTTGTTCAGTTCAGGAACATTTTAATGGGAGGAAGTGTACTGTGAAAAGTGCTTTGTGACACGGGAGAGAACACAGGTGAACTCCTCACATTGCGAGTGCTCTCCATCTCTGTGCTCAAAAAGGGTAAATTTTTTGCATTCGTGTGCATTCTCTGCTAGTTCATTTGTTTACTGGACTGTGTCATAAA